AGAAAACCCTCCAGCCCAGTTCAAGATTAAACCTGTGGAAAGCTACTTCTTCAAAAGCAAAAGTATCTCATATCATCAGGGTTGAAAGCAAAGATATCTTATGGCATGTTTTTTCCCTATCTTTTCCTTTACCTTTGCTCTTACCTGCAAGACAAAGAGAAAGAAAGAAATCAGTCAGAACCTGAAATCAAACTTCTGATCTGGAACTGATTGCCCAGAACTTTTGCATGGTTGCTTACCTAGCATTGCTCTTGAGTGATCATCTTCAACTGTTAATAAGTCTCGAGTTTCCTCAACGAATACTTCAGAACAGTTGATATGATGTTGGCTCTTTACATTGAAGTTGCCAAGCATGGATGAGTTGCTAAGAAGTGATGCTCTGAATGACCATTTAAAGGCAAAAGTTTGCACACCACTTCTGCCATGCAAAAGAAACAAGTAGAGAAGAATGCAACATGGTGAGCTGTAACAGATAACTATAGTAAGACACCCTTCCCTGCATAACCGCATAACCCAGATGGAGGAGTCTGAGTCAAATCCAAGCTCAGCATTATTGCTCTAATCAAAGAGCTCGAGAAGTTTCAAAGACCTTTCAATGGCACCGTCGTTGAAGAGCAAAGCCTCGCCGTGCAACACCATCAAATCGCCACCACCACCTAGGAACTCTACTCTTCCTTGCTCAGATCTCCAGCCCAGTTTAAGAATAAGCTTGTGGAAAAGTTAACAATTGGAGGAAACCAGAAAATCCTCCAACCCAGTTCAAGACCAAAGCTGTGGAAAGTCAACAAGCGCAACATAATACATGCTGATTCATCCACTACCAAAGCCAAAGATCATCTACCACGTGAAGCTCCTTGTGGTCCAATTTCATTCAAGATCAAGCCTCGACAGCCCTTAAAGAAATTTCAACAAAATTCAAGAACAAGCCTCAACGATACTTGAAGAAAACTTTTATCCCAATTCAAGATCAAGCCCCGATGACCTTTGAAGAAATTACCAACCCAATTCAAGATCAAGCATCGATGGCCTTTGGATCAACATTACATTAATGGACTTCAAAACGCATCTTCTACACGTGACAAACACATGTATATGATGCGCCTTGAAGTGGGGGCATTTGTAGACATCAAAATTTCGGTGAAATAAATGTTGACCAATAATTAAAATTTCAGCGTTCACGTGTCACATAAATTTTACACGTAGCATGTGACATAACAAAAAAATCGAAAATTATCGGACAAGTCATCAAATATGACACGTGTTAACACCAGGGAGAAATGGTTTATTTCATCTGATTATTTATATCCAAAAATCAAGTTTTGGAATTCTATAAATAGGAAGCCAAGTCATTCATTTTGATTAACCAATTCACATCACACCATAACCTTGAAGCTTTGAAACTCTAAAGCTCCTAAGCAAATCCCGAAGGATTAAGAAAGCTCTCTTCGTTCTTCGTCAAATCCTCCTTCAAGATCAAGCCTCAACGGCCCTTGAAGAACTTCCTCCTTTAAGATCAAGCCCCAATGGCCCTTGAAGAACTTCCACCAATTCAAGATCAAGCCCCGATGGCCTTTGAAGAAAGTGTTCATCGTTCATCATCCGTTCATCCTAAGATCAAGCCCCAACGGCCATTTGGATCAACAACATCAACAAATCCGCACAACCATTCTTCAAGATCAAGCCCATAAGCCCTTGAAGATCTGTTCATCACCGTTCTTAAAGATCAAGCCCAAAAGCCCTTAAAGAAACTTCCATCAACTTTCAAGATCAAGCCTGAAGGCTCTTGAAGAAACTTCTGACCGTTTATCCAAGATTAAGCCTCGATGGCCCTTGGATCAACAAAATATCCATAAATCAACACATTACGAAGATCGAATCAGATGATCAAATTTGAGAGAGATTGTAACCCCAAAATCATTAATACAAAATATTATTTTGTACACGTGTTCTTGTCTCGTTGCATCGCAAGAATTTCCATTTTTACAAATTTGGCATGCCCAATGAGACAATCTCTACCTTTCATCTTTTTCTCCGTTTAAGGAATCCAAGCACACCTCAAAATCAATGGCATCAAGCAAGGGATAAGCCATTCTCACAACCACTAAGGGAAGGATACTGAGCACCTTCACCGTAAACGGAGAATCCATTGGCGCCACAACCACTCCTCAACATGCCACTTCAAAGTTGGTGCCACTAAGGGAGCAAGGGGAGCATCAAAGGCACGAGTCCATCATCAACCTGACCTTGCTGGGGGCACCGAAGCATGGTAATGAGGCGTACAAGATGACATCCCAAAGCGGCCAATGGCATTCTTTTTCAGCATCCTGGATGTTTGAAGGAAAGTCACGTCTATTGGTTACGAAAGTCATGGCCATTGGTGTTACCTCAATTGAAGAACAACTGGGTCAAATGAATGAAGCGATCACAAGGCTAACACGGACTATGAAAGAAAAAGACTTGCAAATTGTTGCACTCGTCAATCAACTAGAAGCACATGATGATGAGAAACTTGACCCAAAGGTTAATCTACTAAAGAGAGGAGCCAGCGAAGAAGAGGAGCCTCCAGTGGAGAAAGTCGATGTGAAGCCGGAGCCAGACCTAGCAGCAGCACTCATGTGGTCTATTTCTATCCAGCAGATGCAGGAGATGATCACAAACACTATCAAGGCGCTGTACGAAGGGAGCTCACGTACCTTTGTGTTGTATTCAAAGCCCTACTCCAAGAAGATTGACGCCTTAAAGATGCTAAGGGGTTATCAACCACCAAAGTTCATACAGTTTGATGGAAAGGGAAACCCTAAGCAGCATGTCGCCCATTTCGTTGAAACTTGCAACAACGAAGGGACGAAAGGAGACTACCTTGCTAAACAGTTTGTGCACTCGCTGAAAGGAAACGCCTTTGAGTGGTATACGAACCTAGAGCCTGAGTCCATCAATAGTTGAGAGCAATTGGAAAGGGAAGTCCTTAACCGCTTCTACAGCACCCGCCGCACTGTAAGCATGCTGAGCTGACAAGTACGAAGCAATGGAAAGATGAGCCAGTTGTTGACTATATCAATCAATGGTGCACTTTAAGCCTCGACTGCAAGGATAGGCTTTCAAAGATCTCCTCAATCGAGATGTGCGTCCAAGGCATGCAATGGAGATTACAATATATCCTTCAAGGCATCAAACCACGAACCTTTGATGAGCTAGAATTAGAAATGAATAAAAGTAAGAGATTAATTTATGGGAAATTAAGAGGCTTAGGTTGTGGGTTTGCAATGATTCACAACTATTGGCTGAACAATGAATTATTGGTTGTTACAGTGTTGGTGGTTGCAAAAAAAATAAAGGAATGTGGGGTGAGGTGGGGCGGAGTTACCTCTCTGTCTTCGACACCCACATGGTGGTCATGGTAGGGAAGAAGTTTAATGTTGGTGAGGTAGCAGGGAGGAAGAACCGCGAGATTTAGGTCATCGGAGATTGAGCTTGATGTCATGGTCACGGTAGCAGCCATGGTTTGCGTTTTCCGGCGAGAACCAGCTGGATAACTAGGTACCAAGTTTGAAGGGGGTGGTTTACAAGGACTGGGATCACCTCCGGATCTCAGACTCCGGAGGAAACTGAGCAAAACATTTCATCCTTCCATTTTTGATCCTGCGGCCAGAAATTAATCAATATTGAAAAATTCTCACGCAAACAAGGCAAGATGAAAATGGAAGGATGAGATGTTTTGCTCAGGTTGCTCTATAGGCTGGGATCTGGAGATGATCCTAGTCTGTTTTGTAATTTAATTTTTAGTCTATGTGGACATATTTGACTGCCACATCAACAAGAATGTGAGACCTACAATTGACACATCATCATTTAATGGTCAAACTAACAGATTGATTAACGGATGTATGAAATTGAAATGAAATAATAGTAAATGTATGAAACTGAAATGTTTTAAAAACATTGTATGAGGTTACAATTTGAGGGATGTATGAAATTGAAATGAAATAATAGTAAATGTATGAAATTGAAATGTTTTAAAAACATTGTATGAGGTTACAATTTGACTTAAATCTGAGAGAGTAAAATGTAATTTACCCTATTTTTTGAACAAGTAGCAGAATGTAACAAGCACTTCACTTGCCCTTTGGGTTGACAAATCAATCATCGTCCACAATTTCCACGTTGATTTGACTCTTGAACGAGGATGGATGTAGCAGTAGTGCTGAGCAAAGATCGGGTCTTGCCTAGTTTGTGGATATTATGCATATTCGTCGCAAATACAGCAACATCGGTATCAAGATCTAAAATATCGATGATATCGAAAATATCGAGATATTATCGATATTGATAAAAATTGAATAAAAACCACAGAAATTGTAAGAAAAACTTGGAAATTTTTATTGAAACTTTGCATGATGTTTATTTAATTAATTATCTATTAGTTTATCACAAAAAATTGGAAGGAAATGCATTGCATGATAGATGTAACTGATTTAAGTTGATTATATAGCGAGCTGGGAAACATTGTGAGTGTAAAAAATATGTAGTAATTAATGAAAGAAGTTTAAACACACCATAATCATTTATATATAATGAATTAGTACAATATTTTACACTTTATACATTGCATGGTACGATAATGAGTGACTTAGTACCACATAGAGTTCCTATCAAGGTCTAAAATATCGATGATATTGGAAATATCGGTAGTCCAAAAACACGGAAATTTCGATGGAAATATTGAGATAATATTGATATTTTAGACCTTGATCGGTATGATCAACCACTGCACTGTTTTATTAGAGATGACTTGCATACTAGTCAACAGAGGTTAGCCGTGCCCGCCTCCGGGAGAGAAACCACAAGGGGCTTCTCAATTATGTAACCAGTCTTAGCAGTTGTCCTTTTATGGTCTTCTAGCCCGATTATCAACAAAAAGAATCCTTTCTAATCTTGTCTTTAACTTGCATAAAACTAGCACTTGTAAATATGGTCATACAGGACGCTAAGCAACACTTTAGTCACAACGTAAAACTTCTTGTAATTAAATATCAAACTTGATTTCTAGCTAGTTCATTTCATTTCCTCATGAAAGATGACAGTCCAGATTCCCTGAATGGAATTAAATCACTGGATCGCCTTCCAACAAGAATCGACGAGAGATAGTAATCTAAGAAAAAAAAAGACTTTATGGAGCCTATTAGCTACTACATATATTTATATTTTCACATACCTGTGCTGCTTTGTAGACAAAGCTTATTTTGAACGGTAGTTGATAGCAAAGCATATATATAGATGTAGTCTGAGGTGAATAGCTAAATAAGCAGTATGAACCAATTTTACAACGAATAAAACAATCTTTAACGAGCCTCCAAAAGCGTGATTGATAATTCGTTGGTAGAAGATGTTTGATTATCTGAAGACAGACCTGCTTCATATGCTTTCTTTTCGATAAAGAAACCAGGTTGTTTAGGCTGAGCCAATGCACCAGCACTTCCCAACATTATAACTACAGATGCCATGCTTGGCCTATCCTCAGGTTCATGTTGAACACATAAGAGACTAACATGGATGCAACGTAACACTTCCGATAGAGAACACGAATTTCCTAAACCTGTATCAATCACTTCCAGAGGCCTGCCTTCGTTCCATAATTGCCATGCCTGAAAAACATCAAAGCTCCTTCATCAATTATACATTTAATAGGGTCTAATATGTAAGAGAAAGAAATTTTAAGCCTGATACTTGCATGCCCAATAAGGTTCTGGCTGTTTTTATTGTAGAATCCCTTGTTTTTCCTTCCGCTAATGATCTCTAGCATCAATATACCAAAGCTAAAGACATCCGATTTCACAGAAAATAGTCCATCGACCGCATATTCAGGTGCCATGTAACCGCTGTGGAAAGTACAAACATCGTATAGAAGTAAGAACAAAATAAACCATTGGTGAAAGTTGATCATAGAAATAGGGTAATACAAACTTACTATGTTCCAACAACTTTCTTTGTATTTCCACCAGCCTGATCTCCTCCAACCAAGGTTTTAGCCAAGCCAAAGTCTGAAATTTTTGGATTCATTTCACTATCAAGTAAAACGTTACTTGCTTTGAGATCTCTATGAATAATCCTTAGCCTGGAATCTTGATGGAGGTAGAGCAGACCGCGAGCAATTCCGCATATAATGTTGAAGCGTGTAGGCCAATCTAGGACTTGTTCTTCTCTGGTTTTATCTGGCAGTTTAACAAAAATCGAACTTTATTTCTATATAAAAAAATGCTCCAAAACCTATTTATGAAATTATTATAGAGGCTAGAGCTATTAAAAATAATAAACTTATAAGGTTTCGAAGATACAAACCAAAAATAAAGGAATCAAGGCCTCTGTTGGGCATGTATTCATAAATCAGCATTTTCTCTTCTCCTTGAACACAGCATCCAAGAAGCTTTACAAGATTTCGGTGCTGGAGCTTGGCAATCAGTACGACTTCATTCATGAACTCACTCAATCCTTGGCCAGAACTTGTCGAAAGCCTCTTCACAGCAATTTCCTGTCCATCTGCTAGCGTCCCCTGGAAATTCACCGAATTTCGAAATTGAGAAACTTGGGATGAAGTAATTCTTTTTTCATTTGGCCCTTACTATGAACAAAATAAAAAATTTACCTTGTAAACAGGTCCAAAGCCACCTTCTCCGAGCTTGTTATCACTTGAAAAGTTATTGGTGGCACTCGCTATTGTGGTCAGGTCAAAGACCGGAAGCTCCAGTTCCCCCTCTGGTTCCCCTTCATTGTTCCGATCCCTTTCTCTTGTTTCAGTTTTCCCTGATTTAGTTGAAATGGGATCAATTTTAGCTAGCTATAGCATATAAGTATGTCTTATCAAACTAAAACTTACATATGCCGATGGAATATGTACTAGTTTAACCATATCTCTTCTAACCAAATTAAACTCATCCAATAACAATCGAACATCCGTGAATATTTAGATATCCGCTTACATGTAAGAGTAAGCAAACTGAAGCTCATATAGGCACTATGAAGATGAAATATTTACTAGTTTAACCATATCCCTTCTACGCAAATGAAACACCATAGAAATCTAACTTCCCTTCTTTCAAATACTCATTCAAGTAAAATCAAACAGCGTTCACAAATGATTTGCAAAGAGTGTCAAGGTACCTTTTAATTCTGTCTTTCTTCGGTGAAGGTAATAATAATATCCAAGTAACAGCATTCCAGCAAACACTACTCCTGCGAGAACTCCAACTATAATTGCTTTCTTCGCTTTATCATCATTTTCTTCATCATGATTGTGAGATGCAATAAAGATAAATTAAAATTGCAGCCAATGAATTATTTAAAGAAAAAAAGAAGATAAAAGTAACTCATGTTACGAAGTTTCTTACCTAACTCTGAAGCTGGCATTCGAACATATAGATCCTGTCCAGAAGCTGGAAACTGCCTGATATCTATTAGATCACCATACCAGATGGCGCAGCCAGTACCTCCTCTTATATCCGAGCTTGTATAAGCCATACAGGAACAGTTGTTCAAGCATTTCGCTCTGCATTCCTTCAGATTTATACTTTTGTTCACCCACGAATGTGTAGTTTCTGGCAATTTCAAGCCGGAAAATTTGATAAACCCATCCTTATGCTTTTCCTGGCAACTCAGGGGCTTCTTGTGCTCACATCCTAGAGACCAGTCCGTCAAGTTCCATCTTTCTTGAGACTTAGGCTTGAATCCTTTTAGACATTGGCAGACTGGATTCTCACCAATGAGACAATTTCCGTTGGCTCCACAGAGGCCATAATGATCACACATGTCCCTGGGTACCGTTGAATATGCCCTCCAAGTTTTTTCCGCTTCAATCCATCTCAAGCGATCACGCGTACTCGTGGTTTGGTTCATAACCAATCTTGAGATTACAGACTTATCTAGAAGGGTGTACATGTAATACACTTCATCGTCATTATACACAAAGTTGAAACTATAAAGTGGATTAGGCATTAATTCTGGTGCACCACTAAATCTTAGGCCATTCCATGGGCCAGAACGATAGTATTTTACAGTGCCTTTAAGAAAATATGCCTCGGGGTATATATGACGTTCCATTTCGAGCTGTCCTGAGTTTTTCCAAATGAAATCTCCCGGACATGGGTCTTCTGAGTTTTTCCATGCTGATAAATTACGATTTAGATCCGTCCTCGAGTCCCATCCCAACTTCATTCCTGGTAACAACGTATCAGATGGATAGTCAAAGCTTTGCCATAAATAGATTCCTGCCCCTGCATCTCTTAGTACCAAATTCCCGGAATCTAAGAGCTCTACCGTTGCACTTTTGGGCTGTTCAACTAAGCTCGTTGACCAAACTACACTCTTATTCTGACCCAGCAGCACAAGATCCCCTTTTCCGTTTATCATCAACATGCCGGAAGAATCATTAATGGGGTTGCATCTGTTTGCCACCCAAACAACAGTTTGGACCGGGATGTTCTTATACCAAATTCCCAAGTAACGATTCTTGGAGCTACCCGGACTGAAGAAACCAAGCTCAAAGCTTCCACCTTTTGCAACCAAGGTCGTGCCATCACGAATAGACTGCGATGGACCAATGCTGTCAACTGCAAAGGAAATTGTGGGCAGCAGAAGGAGCAAATTAGTACAGATGAGCAGAAAACCAAAACCGCCCATTGAATTACTTTGGTCTTTGAGCTCAATGCCTAATGGTAATCGTATTCTTCAAGTTAAAGATATAATCAGAAAAAAAAAAGACTGTTGTGATTCGGTCATTTTCCATCCAAATGCATACGACAGATAATGCTCAATTGCTTATTCTTCGTCAACATAGCAGAAACCGGAAAGATCAACACTTGCCCTGGTTTTCATAAAGATGACGTGCATACCAGACAACAGAGGGTAGCCGTGCGGACTTTTGGCCTTCCAGAAGACTAAAGAGAGAAAACACAAGGGTCTTATTAACTGTGTGTGTCAATTTTTCGCAGTTGTTGGTATTTGGCCTTCTCTCAAATGATCAACCACAAGAACATAGCAGAAACCGGAAAGATCAACACTTGCCCTGGTTTTCATAAAGATGACGTGCATACCAGTCAACAGAGGGTAGCCGTGCGGACTTTTGGCCTTCCAGAAGACTAAAGAGAGAAAACACAAGGGTCTTATTAACTGTGTGTCAATTTGTCGCAGTTGTTTGGTATTTGGCCTTCTCTCAAATGATCAACCACAAGAATCCTTTTTAATCTTATCTTTGACTTGTATGAAACTGGTGGTAGGTCGGGAACAAAACTTCCACGGGTCTTATCTTTGACTTGTATCAAACACAAGAATCATTTTTAATCTTATCCTTAACACTGTACCAGGTTGATGTTTATTTTGTACACAACGTTACACCCTCGCAATCTATCGTTGATGGAACCACATTAGTTTCAAGTGATGGAAGAAGCTTTGAGTTATAAAAATCGATAAAAATAGGCATGTAGATAGTACAACCTTATAATATTTGGTTTGCTGCTGCCTATTGCATAGATGTTATTGAAAATAGAATGTATAAAATGGGATCCATGTGGTGCATTTATTAATGAGTAAATTGTAGCAATGGTCCCTGAACTTTACTCAAATTGGAGCAATAGTCCCTCAACTAAAAATCCATTACCATTGGTCCCTCAACTTATCAAAATATGTAGCTATAGTCATTTTCATTAATTTCTTCAAAATTTTGTCAAAATATGTTATGTTGGAATAACCATTTATTTAATTAGGGTCCCTCAACTCATCAAAGTGTGTAATTATGGTCATTTTTGTCAACTACTTAAAAAATTTTGTCAAAACGAGTTATGTTTGAAGGACCATAGCTACAATTGGGATAAAGTTAAGGGACCATTTCTCCAATTGAATTAAAGTTAAGGGACCAAAGGTAATGGATTTTTAGTTGAGGGACCATAGCTGCATGTTTTAATGAGTTGAAGGACCAATGGTAATGGATTTTTAGTTGAAGGACCATTGCTCCAATTTGAGTAAAGTTCAGGGACCATAGCTACAATTTACTCTTTATTAATTGACGTTTCACTAGTAAACTTGGTGGCAATTGATTTTTGTTCCGCAATGAGTAATCTATGTTTCCACAATGTTGTGCTCTCTTTTTCGAACAAAGTTGAGATTCCACCATAAAACTAATTGGGAATATGGGAATGGCCCATTACTTATAAGTATATGCAAGATCCATTCTTTTCTCGATGTGGAATATATTGAAAAAGATAAAGTTGAGGTTTCACTAAATAACCTTTAATTTATTGTCTAATCCGATCATTTTAAGTGTTTGTGTATGTAAAAGTATAAAACCAATTGTTTTCAACTGCTCAATGGATTGGGCCGTTTTAAGTGTCATTTACTTGTTCAACAAGCATTAGCCCAGAAGGCCCTATTGCAAAACGTTGGAATATTAAGCATTTTTACACCAAATGATTCATAAATATATGCTTTCATAGACCTTTGTCTGCTTTGTTCTCAAAATTTATTTTGAACAAATGTCTGATACGAATGCTTATAGATGTAGTCTGAGATGAATAAAATGATCCCTATCGAGCCTCCAAAAGCAGGATCGATAATTCATTGGTTGAAGCTGACTGTTAACCTGAATTAGGACCTGCTCAATGTGATTCCTTTTCCATGAAGAAACCGGGTTGTTTCGGCTGAGCCAAAGCAGTCTCACTTCCCAACTTTATAACCACAGACGCCGTGCTTGGCCTATCGTCAGGATGATGTTGCGCACATAAGAGACCAATGTGGATGCAACGCAACACTTCCGGATAGTGTGCCCGAGCTTCCTAAGCATGCATCAATCAGTTCTAAAGAATTCCCTTCATTCCACAATCTCCATACCCGAAACAAATCAAAATCCTTCGTCAATTACTGTTCCAATAAGAGCGAAAAATTCATGATACTTACGTGTTCAAAAAGGTTACCGTTGTTGCTTGGATTGGAGAATCCTTTATTTTTCATTCCAGTAATGATCTCCATTACCAAAATACCAAAGCTAAAGACATCGGATTTCATAGAAAATTCCCCCCCCCCCCCCAAAATAACATATTCCCTGGGGGGGGGGTAATGTTGCTGTTGTAGAAAGTAGTGACATCATAGAGGAGTGAGAACAAAATAAACAATTGACGAGGACTAGTAGTTGGTCGGGGGAAATACTATACGGCAAACTTATTACATGCCAACTACTTTGTATGTATTTGTTGTAGTCTGATCTCCTTTAGTCAATAATCTAGCTAAACCAAAGTCAAATTCTCGGATTTATTTCATTATCAAGTAAAGCATTTGTTAGCATAGATACCTCTCCGACTTCAACTTAGTTGTAGACTGCATGATTATCTTTATGTTTTGTAATCATGATAGGACTTGTATTAGATGATATACAGTCCTTGTAGGACTCTCCAGCTCTTGTATATTTATACCTGTTTCTGAGCAATGGAATATAGTGACTTTCATCAATATTATTGTTCTATACTTATTGTGTTCCTTCTCTGATTATATATTTCTACATGGTATCATCCCTTTCTTTGGCTTAACCACCTTCTTCGATCCTGCTTTTCCTTATGTCTTCTTCCTCCCTGCTTCTCGGCCCTGCTGTGGTGCAATTTCTCAAGCTCAATGATTCTAACTATCTTACCTGGCTTCGCCAAATCAAGCCCTTTCTTATTGGCCACGATCTATGGAAGTTTGTTGATGGCTCTTACCCACCCCCAGCGACCACCCTCACCGTCCCTGCCAGCCCTACCATTGTTGCCTCTAACTCTGAGAGCTCTTCGACGGTCACTGTTTCCCTTTAACCCAACCCTGCTTTCACCCAATGGTACCAACAAGATCAACTGGTTGTCAGCTACATCACCGCCACCTTGACAGAGCCTGTTCTTGCTCTCACTGTTGGCCATGACTCAGCCCAAGTTGTCTGGGCATGTCTCCAAAGACGTTTTGCTCACGGCTCTGTCACCAACTCCGCTGCCCTCCGTTACCAGCTTCTTGATCTCTCTAAAGGTTCTAAGCCTGTTAATGAATACCTCCAACATGCAAAATCCCTCCTGAAAAACTTGCAGCCATCGGTCGTCCCGTCGACCTCGATGACTTCATTACTGCCGTTCTTCGTGGCCTTGGTTCTGACTATCTTACTCTCACAACTGCCATCATCAATGTCACTCCTCTCCCTACCTTTGAAGAGCTCAGCTCCAAAATTGAAGCCTTTGATCTTCAAAACCCTCGCCCTTCCCCAACTCCCGCCGCTACCCCGACTGCACTCATCACAACCCAGCAGCCTCGTGCTTCCTCTCAGCCTTCTGGTAATCGCAGTGGTACTTGGTCCAATCGTTCCCAACGCAACTCCGGTGGTCAGCAACACGGCTGGCGTCCTAGCCGCAATCAGCACTCCTGCAATTCCCAACCTTGGAATGGATCTAATATTCATTCCCAACAATCGTGGACTAGGCCGCCTGCTCCTCCTCATTGGCCCGACCCGCGTGGTTTCTCCGGCCGTCCCACCTCAGGCTTATTGGGTCCTGGGCCATGGTGCCCCACTTGCTCCACCTCCCAGCACAACGCTACCCACTGTCCTCATCGCTATGGAGGCCCAGATTCCTTTCCTCCTTTTGCAGGCTCTCAGGTGGCTTACTATCAGGATCCCAATACTTGGTTTCCCGACATCGGCGCTACCCACCACATGACGGGCGATCCCAACGCCCTTCTCCACCCTCAACCTCATCATGGTCCTAATTCAGTTCAATTGGGTAATGGTGATTCTCTTCATATTACATCCACTGGTACTATTCCTATTTCTTTCAACTCTATTCCATTTACTCTTCATCATGTTTTTCTTGTTCCGTCTCTCCATAAAAACCTTTTGTCTGTTGCTCGCTTTACCCATGATAACAATGTTGCTATTGCTATTTGTTTCTTTCCCTCTTTTTATATATATGATTTACGCACTGGTTCCTTATTGTTTCAGGGCCCATGTAGAGATGGCCTTTATCCATTGTCGCTTCCCTCACCCCAAGCCCTTGCTGCGTCATCCTCCATACTCTGGCACCAACGTCTCGGTCATCCTTCGTCCTCGGTTTTATCTCGTCTTAGTTCTAGTTTAGGCTCTCAGTCATTTTCTTCTAAGCATTTTTGTACAAGTTGTGCTTTAGGCAAGTCCACACAACTTCCTTTTCAATTGAATAATACAAGGGCTACTTCTTCATTTTTTATTATACATTCTGATGTTTGGATGTCCACTACTACCTCCACTTCTGGTTTTTGTTATTATGTTTTGTTCACTGATGATTATTCTCGCTATTCTTGGATATACCCCATGAAACATAAGTCTGAAGTTTTCACCCATTTTCAAACATTTGTTGCAATGGCTAAAAACCTTTTTCACGCTTCCATTAAATATTTCCAAAGTGATGGCGGCATTGAGTATGTTAATCACTCATTCTCTGTTTTTCTTCGCCAGTTAGGTATCCAGCACTGTCTTTCTTGCCCACACACACCTCAACAAAATGGACTTGCTGAGCGCAAGCATCGTCATATCGCTGATATGACTCGCACCCTGCTTGCCACAGCTTTTGCCCCGCTCACCTTGTGGGTTGAAGCTGCGCTCACCTCTGTCCACCTCATCAATCTTCTTCCCACATCTACCCTTCATTGGTCCACTCCTTACACTCTTCTTTTTGGTCGACCACCTATTTACTCCCATTTACGTACCTTTGGATGTATATGTTTTCCATACCTTGGGCTATGTTCACGATAAACTAATGCCTCGTTCTATTGAGTGTGTTTTTGTGGGTTACAGTGCTACTCATAAAGGTTACAGGTGCCTTGATCGTGCCACTGGTCACGTCTATATTTCTCATCATGTCGTGTTCAACGAAGAGGCTTTCCCCTTTGCTAATCCTCTCGGCCACCAACCACCTGCATATGTGGAACTTGACATTCATCCCATTGTTGCTCCCTCGCCACGTAGCCCCCTGCCCGTTCCTGCCACTATTACCCCCGTGGGCTCTCATCTTTCTGCAGGTCCGTCCACACTCCCCGAGACTGGGCCCAGCCTTCCACCGCCTGCAGCCCAGTCTCCATCGCCGCCTCTTACTGCCCCGTCACAGCCCCAACCACATGTGCCTCTCTCCCATCCCATGATCACCAGGTC